CTGACTGCGTCATTGTAAAGTGTTAACAAAACCCTATTTACAAATCCTGTAAGAATGGTTCCTGATTACTGCCGTTGCATAAATGCAAGCAGTAAGCACGCCCCCCGCCCCCCACCCATCCTTTTCATCATGTTTTTGGTGTTGTTATGGTTTGTTTAAACAACAAATCTAAGAAGCAGACTATTATTTGTGACAAACTTGCCATCTGTGATCCAGAAGAATGACCTGTACAATGTTAACTTAAATCCTATTTAAATGTGCCCACAACTACACAAGAATCAGCCCTGGAGGTTTGCAAATGTTCTCACGGGCCTTGTAGTGGGTTGCTCGAGGAGAGTAGATAACATGAGGCGGATCGCAAAATGGGAAGCCATTAGATGCAGTGGGGACCGGCAGCAAAACATTGCCGCATAGCTGCCCGTCTCTCCCTCGGGGCAGCATAATGGCATAATATACTGTATGGCGTGCTTATGTAACTGGGGGGAGGAATATTAATGGAAGGCCGCTCGCCCAGTGGGGGGTTAAAGTGGAATCAGATCAAAGCTTGCGCACACTTCCAGCCAAGAACTGAGAAAAGGCTTTGTGTATATTGGAGGCATGACCCCACGGACTACAGTGACGCTTAACATTTCCAGAAGGGGCAATGCTCGGCTGATGAACCACTGAAATGGTGTACAGCAAACATCCCAGACCTACAATAGGTGAAAGTCAACAATAAAGTGGCCATCTCATTTTTTTTTTTTAAATAACTGTACCGCTCCTACATGCTATAAACACATTTCAACACTCTATAAGACAGCGGTGCCCAACCTTTTTTGCTCCACGGACCGGTTTAATGTCAGACAATATTTCCAGGGCGGTACCGGCCTTTAAGGCGTGACAGATAAATACAACAAAATAATATGACATGAGCTGCATGAAAACTGTGGTATTTTTGTAACATAATACTAAAAACGAATCAAGACACAAGGAACGTCCTATCTGGCTGCAACACTCTGGTCGCTATGGTAACGTTTAAAAGTGCCTTCAAAATAAGATAAACGGCAAATAAAAAAAGTGCATGAAAAATACGACTCACCATCGCCGCATATTCTGCAGAGTGGGCTTGTTGCGTGGGAATCTCCCGTTGAGATAAATTTCTAAAGTTGTTGTAATGTGAGTTATTTATTCTTTTTGTGTTGCCCAGTATCAAATGACACGCAGACCGGTACCAGTCCGCAGCCCGGGGGTTGGGGACCTCTGCTATAAGACACTTGAACTTACAGTCTAAAAATGCCCTGCGTCTTTGTCCGCAAAAGTCTGACAAAGCGATGGGAAAATCCAGTGTGCTTTGTCAATGGAATGAAAACATGTGAATACCGGAGGGAAATGAGTAACAGGCGACACGATGTTTTCCCACGCCAATTGTTTGGTGATGGCAACCATATGTTGCGCTCGCTTAAGCTTGACGTGACTTGAAATGTACAAGCTCACACTCAAGTGCTCGGAACCGTCGTTCAATGTGTTCAAGGAACTTGAAAATGGAAAAAGGAAAACATGTCTGTTCTCGTTTTCATTGCAGTTTGTTAGAAAACCCACACAACACGTTGAACGTAGACATTTTGTGGCGCATATGCCACACAGAAAGCCATTGAAACACCCAAGGCCACGTTCTACCCCCACACATCTTTTCATGTGGCTAGCAAAAGCTTGCTGCAATTTTCCCCTCTTCTTTTCAGTTTATAATTAATCATTAAAAAAAAAAAAAAAGATCATAACCAAACACAGGAATGATAATGGAATATGATGGCACTGCCCAAATGAGTTCCCTCACGAAAGATATTAGGTCATAGACCAGAAATGTGAAGCCCTACTTTTAGTCTCTAGACCGGGGGGTCGGCAACCTGCGGCTCTGGAGCCGCCTGCGGGAAAAGATGGAGGGGGGGAAATATATTTTTTGTTTTAATATGGTTTCTGTAGGAGGACAAACATGACACAAACATTCTTATTTTTTCCAATGCATTCTTTTGGGGTTGTTTTCCCTTATCTGAAATGAAACTGAGGCCATAGAAAAGGTGGAGGAAATTATGAACAGTTCCAAATAGCAGTCAGTCTTAAAAAAAAAGGCCAAGAAAATGGCAAGGAAAGCCTAGCAGAACATCAGAATTTTATTCTGGGTTAATCAGAGACACTTTAAATGGTGCCTGGTGTGGGCTATTTGAAGTGATCAGTTCATTCTGAAAACAGTCAAATCGCAGTTATAGGTGGGTGTGCAGACTTTTGCAACCCGATTAGCTCCGTTGATCATTTTACTTCCCCCCTTGCAAAGATGTATCAATGCGCAGGGGTGTGTAGACTTTTTATTTCCACCGTAGCTGCTTCTGCCTTCTCGTGCTATAGCCGAAATGCATCTGGCGACTGAAATATGATTTGATATTGCGGGAAGAAAAAAAAAGCAGACACAATCCCATTTCATTCTTTCACCATTTATTAGTTCACCAAATACAGTGAAAATGGCATCATAATATACAATGACTCATTCTTAGAATGTCATGACATTTTTGTAGATTTATTTTTTTATTTTTTGCTTCATAAAATGATTTTCCGATATTGAAAATATTAAGGATTCATGCACAACAAACCATATCCAGTTTCTTCAAAATGATAGTACAAAATAAACCAACTTTAAAAAAAAAAAAACAAAAACACAAAAATAAACTGTAATGTTCAAAATGGGTCAAATAACGACGTTATTTGATCATACTCGTAAACAGTGCAATATACTCTAAAACTGCCATTTTCTAACAAATTCATCAACGTAGCTCAAGTCACAGTATACAATTTCTTACTAATAGTTGAACATCGATGTGTGCAAAAACCCAGACACATTCAGTTAGTCTTTAAAAAACCTCCAAGCTCCGATAAGAGCTGTCGAGCAAAAATGAACGGCGTCTCGTTCCCTGCGTCCTCTCCCGAGTAGAAACTTTTTTTTGTTGTTGTTGTTGTTGATGAACTGTAAGACCATATACGAGCATATCATTTAAATAACAAATATTTAGATATAAAAATACAAATATGACCTTTCTGTTTAAAAACAAGCGTGCCGGGGTGGTGTGGGGGTCGGGGGCTAAGCGTGGTGGCACCTTCGTTGGCACCGGAGTGAGAATTCATGCATGACGTAAAACACCATTAATTGCAAAATAAAAAATATCCAAAGTACAGTGGCACCTTGACTTACAAGTTGAATGTGTTCAGTGAGCAAGCCTGTAACTCAATTTATTCATTTATCAAATTAATTTTCCCCTATTGACTGAAATGAAAATGCCATTGATGCAAAAAGGGTGCTGTAATGTATAAAACAACACAAGAGAACGTAAAGTGTCATTTACACGAAGTACTGTAGTATTGTTGGAAGTGTGCTTTTAAGGGGCGGGGCCTTGTGAGCTGACGTCAGGTATCCAGTCCTTGGGAGCTCATTTTGCATTTCTGTGTTTGACTGCCCAGTTCCTTGAAGTGGCTCTCCTTGCCCACATGCGGAGGCATTAACAGTCCATTTGAAAAAAAAAAACAAAAAACAAAAACAAAAATGATGACCTCAGATAATCTTTTGTCTTGGTGCGAGGATATGAAAATAGACCTTGTTCCTCGCTTACGCTGATATCATCTCATCACTTTGTTGTGAGACAAAGCGAGACGTTGGGGTGGGGGGGGGGGCAGTTGCATTTGGCAGATGAGAACTGCCACTTCATGTGAGTGTGCATGACCTCACCTCACAGGCAGACACTGAAAGGTCTCCTTGCATTCAATTGTATTCAGTATTTCCATTTTTTTCCCCCCCCACACCTGTGTGAACTTGCTCGCAACTCAGGGGCAAAAATTAAATAAATAAATAGACCAAGCGATGGCTTTGTAACGTGAAACATTTGTAAACCGGTGCACTTGTAACTCGAGGTACCACTGTAACGAATGAATATCCGTTCTGCGTATTATTTTAGATATTGACTTCAATCTCCACAATTTGGTTCGCGTTTGTTCCATAATCAAATGCAAATAATTATAAATCATAAATATGCCAATGCAATATTTCGTTTTTACTTCCATTTTTCAGGAGCCGAACTGAAACATCCGAGACTTTTTCTGCGCATACAAAAGGCCCGGTTCTCTCAAATGGTCTCACAGATCGGTCTAAATCTGTGAGCAAGCGCTTCTTTTTTGCCAAAATCGTCCAACTGCGCATCTAATTAGCATCTTGATATGCCACACATGTCAGGTGACCGGATTAAAAGAGAAGTGCTCACTAAATTTAAACAGCTTTGTGAACAATTTTTGAGAGCGATCGGCCTTTTTTTGCGTTCATAGAATAAGTCTTACATCTTTCGGTTGAGCGCATAAAAAAAAAAAAAAAAAACAACTGCCTCAACAAGTGTTGCATTTATATTTTCGTCAAAGATATGTGCAGGTGCAGCTACATGAACCTGCCACTTTAACCACTGGGGGGGCTAAAGCCAGAAAGAAAACCCGCGGCCCAAAAAACAAGTGGCGTTCCACTACAGAAAAAATTGCACCATCCTCGGATAAATGTTTTTTTACATACAATCTGGTCTCCTTTAAATAAGAAGGAGACTTGAAAGTTTTGTTGGTCTGTTGGGGAAAAACAAAAGTGTGGGAGGAGGTGCGGGAATACCAAAGCAGCAACAGGAATGCATTGGAGCGGTGCTGAAAGGACAGCTCCCCTGAATGCACCATCGACAAGGAAGTGTGGGGGGCTTGGGGTGGGGGTGCTAATTGATCTGCAAGCTGAGCCTACTGTACAACGTCGAGTTTCATTCCGACGCTTGTTTTTGCTTGCGTCTGGCGCGGTGGGGGTGGGGGGGGGGCGTTGGCAAGGACATAGCGGCGGGTGGTGGTGTTTGTTTCAATGACAAGTTCATCCATCACCTTTCATAACAAAGTCAGCGCGTGTCGAGACACCGCAGCAGCCGTCTC